AAACAACGACAAAAAAACAAAAAGAAACAATAACAAGAAAAAAAAAAGACCCAGCAGGATCCGAAGGAGACGTTAACGCCATTTCCCCCTCCTGCCTCCCCTCCCCTCCTTTTCTAGTCTCTACTCCTCTAGGCCAGGGCAGAGTCAATCAGCTCGGAGGAGTGTTTATCAATGGCAGGCCTTTACCCAACCATATCCGACACAAGATAGTGGAGATGGCCCACCATGGCATAAGGCCCTGTGTCATCTCTCGCCAGCTGCGAGTGTCCCACGGCTGCGTCTCCAAAATTCTCTGCAGGTACCAGGAGACGGGCTCCATCCGGCCGGGGGCCATCGGCGGCAGCAAGCCCAAGGTGAGCCCCGCTGCAAAGCCCGGCCGCGGCGGCGGGGAGCGAGGCCCCGCCGGGGCCGGGGTCTGCGGGCGGGGAGGCGGCAGCGCCGCAGGGCCGGGGCCGGTGCGGGGCCGGGGGGGGGCGCAGACACGCAGCGCTCACAGCAGCGCCCGCCGCGTCCCCGCCTGTTGCTCCCAAAGTTCCCCAGGCTTTAAAAAATCCCCTAGCAGTTGCGTGGCAATGATTTTTTTTTTTTTAATCAAGAAAATGCACTTTTAAAAAATTAGTTCTCAAACGAACCTAGGGAGAAAGGGGTCGTTTTGTGAGCGCTCCTCAGTCCAAAGCCCCGAGTGCCCCACGCTTCGCCCCACGACAGCCGCGGCCGGGCTCGGCGCTGCCGGGACGGACCGGGGAGGCGATCGGTCAGATGCCAGGGCTTGCACAGCGCGGCGGGATCGGGCCCTCGCTTCTTTCGTTGCAAAGCGCAAAAAAAATTACCTGTATTTCTGTCTGTCTGCCTCCTGCTCCTTCTCCCGCTGTTTATTTTTCTGTCCGCTCCAAAGCTGCGTGTATTTATAGCTGCACCGCTAAAAAGTTTGCGCTCACAATAATGCAGATAAATACGGATATTTGACTCAAGATTAGCCTCCTCCTGCTATTGCTTTTCATTCCCACAAAAGCGAAGTAAAGGCTTGAGTTTCCGTTGAAAGTTGCTGCTAGATTTTTTTCCCTTTGTCACTTCTAAAGTAGCAATGCTTGAACTTTCCCTTTCGGTGTTGGGACCAGAGATATTTTTTTATAAGCGTATTACCCGAACGAAAGGCTGTTCCCAGCCGGGAGACCTTTGTTTTGTTTGAATTCGGCTTTATTTTAAAATCACGAGGCCATCGGAGAAGCCTCTCGGTGCTCGGACCTCTCAGCGGTTTTATTACGCTGCTTTTTACTTGGCGCTGCGAACTTTGTGCAGCCGAAACTTCACTGGCTCGGAGCTTCGCTCACACGGAGCCCTCCTCTCATCCCGACCCAGAATTTCCCTGGGATTTTCTCTCGGCCGCACGGCAGCCGGGGGCGCCCGGCTCCGGG